CAAAAAAAAATAAAAAAAATAAGGGGGAGGAAAGTTGGGGGGGGCTAATTTAGATGGGTGTACAGGTGAGGCGGAAGGTGCTCTGACAACTGATGCTTAAAGTTAGTGAGGGAGATAGTGTCTCCAGCTCAGAGATTTTTTGCAATTCGTTCCAGTCATTGGCAGCAGAGAACTGGAAGGAATGGCGGCCAAAGGAGGTGTTGGCTTTGGGGATGACCAGTGAGATATACCTGCTGGAGCGCCATACTACGGGTGGGTGTTGCTATGGTGACCAATGAGCTAAGATAAGGCAGGGATTTGCCTAGCAGTGATTTATAGATGGCCTGGAGCCAGTGGGTTTGGCGACGAATATGTAGTGAGGACCAGCCAACAAGAGCGTACAGGTCACAGTGGTGGGTAGTATATGGGGCTTTGGAGACAAAACGGATGGCACTGTGATAGACTACATCCAATTTGCTGAGTAGAGTGTTGGAGGCTATTTTGTAAATGACATCGCCGAAGTCAAGGATCGGTAGGATAGTCAGTTTTACGAGGGCATGTTTGGCAGCATGAGTGAAGGAGGCTTTGTTGCGAAATAGGAAACCGATTCTAGATTTAACTTTGGATTGGAGATTCTTAATGTGAGTCTGGAAGGAGAGTTTACAGTCTAACCAGACACCTAGGTATTTGTAGTTGTCCACATACTCTAGGTCAGACCCGTCGAGAGTAGTGATTCTAGTCGGGTGGGCGGGGTGCAAGCAGCGTTCGGTTGAAGAGCATGCATTTAGTTTTACTAGTGTTTAAGAGCAGTTGGAGGCTACTGAAGGAGTGTTGTATGGCATTGAAGCTCGTTTGGAGGTTTGTTAACACAGTGTCCAATGAAGGGCCAGATGTATACAAAATGGTGTCGTCTGCGTAGAGGTGGATCTGAGAGTCACCAGCAGCAAAGAGCGACATCATTGATATACACAGAGAAAAGAGTCGGCCCCAAGAATTGAACCCTGTGGCACCCCCATAGAGACTGCCATAGGTCCAGACAACAGGCCCTCCGATTTGACACATTGAACTCTATCTGAGAAGTAGTTGGTGAACCAGGCGAGGCAGTCATTTGAGGAAACCAAGGCTATTTAGTCTGCCAATAAGAATGCGGTGGTTGACAGAGTCGAAAGCCTTGGCCAAGTCAATGAAAACGGCCCTGCACAGTACTGTCTATTATCGATCGCGGTTATAATATCGTTTAGGACCTTGAGCGTGGCTGAAGTGCACCCATGACCAGCTCGGAAACCGGATTGCATAGCGGAGAAGGTACGGTGGGATTCGAAATGGTCGGTGATCTGTTTGTTAACTTGGCTTTCAAAAACTTTTGAAAGGCAGGGCAGGATGGATATGGGTCTGTAACAGTTTGGATCTAGAGTGTCACCCCCTTTGAAGAGGGGGGATGACCGCGGCAGCTTTCCAATCTCTGGGGATCTCAGACGTTACGAAAGAGAGGTTGAAACAGGCTAGTAATAGGGGTTGCGACAATTTCGGCGTCTAGTTTTAGAAAGAAAGGGTCCAGATTGTCTAGCCCAGATGATTTGTAGGGGTCCAGATTTTGCAGCTCTTTCAGAACATCAGCTGTCTGGATTTGTGTGAAGGAGAAGCGGGGGGGGGGGGCATGGGCAAGTTGCAGCGGAGGGTGCAGAGCTGGTGGCCGGGCTAGTGGTAGCCAGGTGGAAAGCATGGCCAGCCGTAGCAAAATGCTTGTTGAAATTCTCGATTATTGTAGATTTATCGGTGGTGATAGTGTTTCCTAGCCTCAGTGCAGTGGGCAGCTGGGAGGAAGTGCTCTTATTCTCCATGGACTTTACAGTGTCCAAAACTTTTTTTTTAACGGTCGGATGCGGGCAGTTGCCATACCAGGCGGTGATGCAACCGGTCAGGATGCTCTCGATGGTGCAGCTGTAGAACTTTTTGAGGATCTGGGGACCCATGCCAAATCTCCTGAGGGGGAAAAGGCGTTGTCGTGGCCTCTTCACGACTGTCTTGGTGTGTTTGGACCATGATAGTTTGTTGGTGATGTGGACACCAAGGAACTTGAAACTCTTGACCCGCTCCACTACAGCCCCATCGATGTGAATGGGGGCGTGTTCGGCCCTCCTTTTCCTGTAGTCCATGATCAGCTCCTTTGTCTTGATCACGTTGAGGGAAAGGTTGTTATCCTGGCACCACACGGCCAGGTCTCTGACCTCCTCCCTATAGGTTGTCTCATCGTTGTCGGTGATCAGGCCTACCACCATTGTGTCGTCAGCAAACTTAATGATGGTGTTGGAGTCATGCTTGGCCACACAGTCGTGGGTGAACAGGGAGTACAGTAGGGGACTAAGCACGCACTCCTGAGGGTCCCCCGTGTTGAGGATCAGCGTGGCGGACATGTGTTGTTGCCCACCCTTACCACCTGGGGGCGACATGTCAGGACATCCAGGATCCAGTTGCAGAGTGAGGTGTTTAGTCCCAGGGTCCTTAGCTTAGTGATGATATTTGAGGGCACAATGGTGTTGAACGCTGAGCTGTAGTCAATGAACAGCATTCTCACATAGGTGTTCCTTTGGTCCAGGTGGGAAAGGGCAGTGTGGAGTACGATTGAGATTGCGTCATCTGTGAATCTGTTGGGGCGGTATGTGAATTGGAGTGTGTCCTAGGGTTTCTGGGATGATGGTGTTGATGTGAGCCATGACCAGCCTTTCAAAGCACTTCATGGCTCCCGACGTGAGTGCTACGGGGCGGTAATCATTTAGGCAGGTTACCTTCGCTTTCTTGGGCACAGGGACTATGGTGGGCTGCTTGAAACTGAGACTCGGTCAGGGAAAGGTTAAAAATGTCAGTGAAGACACTTGCCAGTTGGTCCACGCATGCTCTGAGTCCACGTCCTGGTAATCCGTCTGGCCCCGCGGCCTTGTGAATGTTGACCTGTTTAAAGGTCTTGCTCACATCGGCTACGGAGAGCGTGATCACACAGTTGTCCGGAACAGCTGGTGCTCTCATGAATGCTTCAGTGTTGCTTGCCTCAGAGCGAGCATAAAAGGCATTTAGCCTGTCTGGTAGGCTTGCGTCACTGGGCAGCTCGCAGCTGGGTTTCCCTTTGTAGTCTGTAATAGTTTGCAAGCCCTGCCACATCCAACGAGTGTCAGAGCCGGTGTAGTAGGATTCAATCTTAGTCCTGTATTGAAGTTATGCCTGTTTGATGGTTCGTCTCATGGCATAGCGGGATTTCTTATAAGCGTCCGGATAGGTGTCCAGCTCCTTGAAAGCGGCAGCTCTTGCCTTTAGCTCGGTGCGGATGTTGCCTGTAATCCATGGCTTCTGGTTGGGAGATGTACGTTCACCGTGGGGACGACGCCGTCGATATACTTATTGATGAAGCTGATGACTACGGTGGTATACTCCTCAATGCCATTGGATGAATCCCGGAACATATTCCAGTCTGTGCTAGCAAAACAGTCCTGTAGCGTAGCATCTGCGTCATCTGACCACTTCCTTATTGAGCGAGTCACTGGTACTTCCTGCTTTAGTTTTTGCTTGTAAGCAGGAATCAGGAGGATATAATTATGGTCAGATTTGCCAAATGGAGGGTGAGGGAGAGCTATGTACGCATCTCTGTGTGGAGTGAAGGTGGTCTAGAGTTTTTTTCCCTCTGGTTGCACATGTGACATGCTGGTAGAAATGAGGTAAAACTGATTTAAATCTGCCTGCATTCAAGTCCCTGGCCACTAGGAGTGCCTCTTCTGGATGAGCATTTTCTTGTTTGCTGACGGCCTTATACAGCTCGTTGAGTGCGGTCTTAGTGCCAGCATTGGTTTGTGGTGGTAAATAGACGACTGTGAAAAATTTAGATTTAAAACTCTCTTGGTCTACAGCTTATCATGAGGTACTCTACCTCAGGCGAGCAATACCCCGAGACTTCTTTAATATTAGACATTGCGCACCAGCTGTTATTGACAAATAGACACACACCCCCACCCCTCGTCTTATCGGACTAGAACCTAAAAGGGTTCTTCGGCTGTCCCCATAGGAGAACCCTTCGAATAACCCTTTTTGGTTCCAGGTAGAGCCCTTTTGAGATGCATGTAGAACCTTTTACACAGAGGGTTCTATATGAAACCCAAAAGGGTTCTATATGAAACCCAAAAGGGTTCTCCTATAGGGATAGCCAATGAACCCTTTTGGAACCTTTCTTACTAATATTTCAAAGGAACTACTAAATGTCAACAGAAACAATGGAATAATGAAAACAGGGGTGAGATATCTGTGATATAGTTGCGTACCCACAAAAGTATTTTGGAGCATTTTTCTCCAGCAGCCTGTATTGTGAAACAGCACTGTAAGAGAACTCCACATTGTTTTGTAAGGAGAAAGAGTGTGTGTGTGTGTCTGTGTGTGTCTGTGTGTGTGTGTGTGTGTGTGTGTTACCTGAGCGACGTGACACTTCATCTCGGCCCATTTGACCTCCCAGGATGCCTTGTCATTGGCGTAGTTTTGCTGCAGCTGGCACCTCCTGCTCTCCTCCTCCCTCAACTCCTCCCTGAACTCCTCTAACAGGGAGCGCAGCGCGTGGAGCACCCTGCGGTTCTCACCCACCTGGAGAGGAGGAGGAGGAGCGGGGGAGGAAGAATGAAACTGGATCATTCATTAATTCAAGATATCAAGTAGTCCTTTCCATTGACCTAATAATGTCAACTGTTTCTAAACACAAGCCATGCTTTAATTTCCAAGTTGATCTACACACAGCACACCATAAAAGCTCATACTATATTCTGGCTTGATGGATAATATGTACAGTGGGGAAAAAAAGTATTGTCAGCCACCAATTGTGCAAGTTCTCCCACTTAAAAAGATGAGAGAAATCCATGGTACCCTACCTGTCTCTGGGGCTGCAGGCGATCAGGGGAGGGGAGTTGGGTTGTGGGGCCGGGGTCGGGGCTGTCTCTCTGGGGTAGCTGGGTACACGACCTGCCCCTGTCCTCTCTATCCGTCTCTCCCTCTCCATACTCCAAGATCACCCCCAGCTCCGGAATACCCTCCAACTTCTCATACTGGGACAGACAAGACATGGAATAACAAGGTTATTATTGGCCAACAACAAAGCAAGAAGAGGAGCAGTAAATCAATAAACTAACCAACTAACCAACCAACAAACCGAGTCAGTCAATCAATCACTCAGTTGACCAATCAAACGACTCAATCCTGCACTGCTAAGTGATTTTGAGCTAGATGTCAACCCTCCCCCTGGAGAACTACTGGGAATGCAGGCTTTTGCTCCAGCCCTGCTGTTATACACTGATTGGTCTAACCAAATGTACTCTGCTCAATCCTACTCTCCTAAGTGACTGACTGACTTTTGGTTTGTTGGTTGTTTGTTTGATTGGATGGTTGACAGCCTGTGTGGAGTGCCTCTGGAGAAATTGATTGGATGGTTGACAGCCTGTGTGGAGTGCCTCTGGAGAAATTGATTGGATGGTTGACAGCCTGTGTGGAGTGCCTCTGGAGAAATTGATTGGATGGTTGACAGCCTGTGTGGAGTGCCTCTGGAGAAATTGATTGGATGGTTGACAGCCTGTGTGGAGTGCCTCTGGAGAGAAATTGATTGGATGGTGACAGCCTGTGTGGAGTGCCTCTGGAGAAATTGATTGGATGGTTGACAGCCTGTGTGGAGTGCTCTGGAGAAATTGATTGGATGGTTGACAGCCTATGTGGGGTGCCTCTGGGGAAGAAATTGATTGGATGGTTGACAGCCTGTGTGGAGTGCCTCTGGAGAAATTGATGGATGGTTGACAGCCTGTGTGGAGTGCCTCTGGAGAAATTGATGGATGGTTGACAGCCTGTTGTGGAGTGCCTCTGGGAGAAATTGGATTGGATGGTTGACAGCCTGTGTGGAGTGCCTCTGGAGAAATTGATGGATGGTTGACAGCCTGTGTGGAGTGCCTCTGGGAGAAATTGATTGGATGGTTGACAGCCTGTGTGGAGTGCCTCTGGAGAAATTGATTGGATGGTTGACAGCCTGTGTGGAGTGCCTCTGGAGAAATTGATTGGATGGTTGACAGCCTGTGTGGAGTGCCTCTGGAGAAATTGATTGGATGGTTGAAAGCCTGTGTGGAGTGCCTCTGGAGAAATTGATTGGATGGTTGACAGCCTGTGTGGAGTGCCTCTGGAGAAATTGATTGGATGGTTGAAAGCCTGTGTGGAGTGCCTCTGGAGAAATTGATTGGATGGTTGACAGCCTGTGTGGAGTGCCTCTGGAGAAATTGATTGGATGGTTGACAGCCTGTGTGGAGTGCCTCTGGAGAAATTGATTGGATGGTTGAAAACCTGTGTGGAGTGCCTCCGGAGAAATTGATTGGATGGTTGAAAGCCTGCGTGGAGTGCCTCTGGAGAAATTGTTCCCAACCACTGTCAGAAATGTTTTCATGGTTACAGTTAAGATTGGGGTACACACATTCAGCAGCTTTCTAGGAGAAGGGTAGCCAAGTATCTGCTGCCTCCTCACCGTCCTCCAGTGCATGACCTAAACTACCTGTGGTTAGGTTCAGCCTCTACCTCTTGCCAGTCGTCTCACCTCTGAGTGAGCTGCCTCCTCCCCTGTCTCAGTCCTCCTCCCCAGCCTCCAGTGCATGAGGATCCAGCGTAGCTTCATGTAGAAGACGATGGTGTTGTGTCTGAACAACCGGACCTCCTGCTGCAGTAGGGTTCTCTCCTGGACCCAGGGAGCCTCGTGGGCCTGCAGGCCCGTCAGATCTAGACCCCCCCTGGGCCTCACACCCTGCGCCTCCAGCCGCCTCCGTTCCTCATCCTGTTGGGAGATAGGAAGGGAGGGAGGGGAGGGGAGGGAGGGGAACAGGGAGGAGAGTCCTGGTGAAATGTACTGATGTATAGCATATATTTTATTGTTATTATCAAGTATTTCCTCATCGAGGTGGGTAGGTAGGTGGAGAGTGAACCAGGAAAAACTCTGAGCCCTGAAGATAGTCTTTAACCAGGTCCCAGAGAGAAAAACTCCTGGATCTATGCACAGTACAACTATATAAAGGACATGACCCTTCGGAACCAGTACTTTACCTGTTACTGACTATGAGTCAAGCTGTACCAGTACTTTACATTTTTAAAAAGATTTTAGTCATTTAGCAGACGCTCTTATCCAGAGCGACTTACAAATTGGTGCATTCAACTTATGATAGCCAGTGGGACAACCACTTTTTTATATTTTTTTTTTGGGGGGGGGGGGGGGGGGGGGGGGGAAGAAGGATTACTTTATACTATTCCAGGTATTACCTGTGCAATGGTCCCAGAGAAGGCCTCTCTGTCCTCCTGTCCAGGCCTCAACCTGCGATCTTGATCCAGTCGGAACTGCATCTCTGGCTCAGCTGTGTCGCGGAGCTGTACCCCCAAAATATTAACCAGACAACACACAGTTACCCTCAGAGCTGTACCCCACAACACAGTTACCCACAGAACAGGCCAAACACACCTCCATGTGTAAATGTTGTGCCTTCATACTGCATTCAGTGACGTCTAGGTTTTCAAAATTCTGGCAACCTTTCCCAAATTCCCAGGTTTTCCAGAAATCCCAGTTGGAAGATTCCCGGAATCAGAAGGGAATAAGCAGGAAATCCAGCATAGTCCAACCAGGATTTCTGGAAAACCAGGACATTTTGGGAAAGTTACTGGAATTTGTAACCCTCGTGATGTCTGTAACCCCACAGACTATACAGTGCAGTACTCTCCATGAGTCATAATTAAACTGTCAGTATTATCTACGTACCTACAGGATTAACAAGTCATTTATATTTCTAGTCTCAGACTGACGGATGTGAGCGGAGCAGATATGAGAGCTCTATTATATTAGAATGGGACTGTGTTCTGTGTTCTAATGGGACTGTGTTCTGTGTTCTAATGGGACTGTGTTCTGTGTTCTAATGGGAACGCTTTCTTTGTTCTAATGGGAATGTGTTCTAATGGGACTGTCTTCTGTGTTCTAATGTGACTGTGTTCTAATGGGACTGTGTTCTGTGTTCAAATGGGACTGTGTTCTGTGTTCTAATGGGACTGTGTTCTAATGGGACTGTGTTCTGTGTTCTAATGGGACTGTGTTCTGTGTTCTAATGGGAATGCTTTCTTTTTCTAATGGGACTGTGTTCTGTGTTCTAATGGGACTGTGTTCTAATGGGACTGTGTTCTGTGTTCTAATGGGACTGTGTTCTGTGTTCTAATGGGACTGTGTTCTGTGTTCTAATGGGACTGTGTTCTGTGTTCTAATGGGACTGTGTTCTAATGGGACTGTCTTCTGTGTTCTAATGGGACTGTGTTCTAATGGGACTGTGTTCTGTGTTCTAATGGGACTGTGTTCTAATGGGACTGTGTTCTAATGGGACTGTGTTCTGTGTTCTAATGGGACTGTGTTCTGTGTTCTAATGTGACTGTGTTCTAATGGGACTGCTCACTGGGGACTGTCTGTCCCGGAATCACCTCTTTCTCTCTTACTCTCTCTCTCCATCTCCCTCTCTCCCGTCATCCCTTTCTCTCCCTCTCTGTCAGCCCAATGTCAAATTTAAATCACACAGAGCACTAATCCTACCATACCAAAGCTGCTTTTTAATTCATCCTCTCATTCATTCACTCTCTCCACCTCACAGATTATGTTAGAGGGAAAAATGAAAACCAATATTAGAGAAACCACATCCCTGGTCAAAGTGTTTGTCATGCTATAATTAAGCAATAAGGCCCGAGGAGGTGTGGTATATGGCCAATATACCACGGCTAAGGGCACGACGCAACGCGGTATATTGGCCATATACCACAAACCCCCGAGGTGCCTTATTGCTATTATAAACTGGTTACCAACGTAATTACCAGCCAGTTTATGATAGTCAGTATAAGCCACCAGATGACCTGTGCTGCTCTCCATGGCGACGCTAAATCATGTTTATCAAACAGCATTAATAAATAAACACAGATCAAAACCTGAGGCAGTCGACTAATCACGGTTATGTGTCTGTGGTATTGGACAGTCCACTACGTGTGTGTGTGTGTGTGTGTGTATGTGTGTGTGTGTGTGTGCGTGTATGTGTGTGTGTGCGTGTATGTGTGCGTGTGTGTGTGTGTGTGTGTGTGTGTGTGTGCGTGTGTGTGTGTGTGTGTGTGCGTGTATGTGTTGGTGTTGCGTGTATGTGTGTGTGTGCGTGTGTGTGTGTGTGTGTGTGTGTGTGTGTGTGTGTGTGTGTGTGTGTGTGTGTGTGTGTGTGTATGGCGCTACATGACACTATGCAGACTCAGAGACAATATACTTTATGTGATGTAAGCACAATATGTCATAGCATTTTAGAGGGCAACTCCCTGTATGTCTACCCAACATTCAGTATGTGACCTGATTCGGGATTGGAGGCATTTGACGCTAAGTATTTCCTACTTCACAGTACGGTCGTTGAAAAAGAAATACATGTTTTTGTTGTTGTTGCAGAAACTGCTTTTTGAACATGTGAACTATCATATGCCTTCATTACAAACGGGTCTGGGGATCTGTTTAATATGAATACAAATGTTAAATTACGAGCCTAGTTTAGCCAAGGAGAAAGCACTGAGCTACAGCATGTCGAGACAAAGACAGGATCCATGATTGGCTGAGATAATGGAGAGGGATAATGGAGGCTACTTTCTGGAGGACATGCTGACCCCCTGCGTTTACATAATGACCCCCTGCGTTTACATGCTGACCCCCTGCGTTTACATACTGACCCCTGCGTTTACATGCTGACCCCCTGCGTTTACATGCTGACCCCCTGCGTTTACATGCTGACCCCCTGCGTTTACATGCTGACCCCCTGCGTTTACATGCTGACCCCTGCGTTTACATGCTGACCCCCTGCGTTTACATGCTGACCCCCTGCGTTTACATGCTGACCCCTGCGTTTACATGCTGACCCCTGCGTTTACATAATGACCCCTGCGTTTACATGCTGACCCCCTGCGTTTACATGCTGACCCCCTGCGTTTACATGCTGACCCCCCTGCGTTTACATGCTGACCCCCCTGCGTTTACATGCTGACCCCCTGCGTTTACATGCTGACCCCTGCGTTTTACATGCTGACCCCTGCGTTTACATGCTGACCCCCTGCGTTTACATGCTGACCCCCTGCGTTTACATGCTGACCCCTGCGTTTACATAATGACCCCTGCGTTTACATGCTGACCCCCTGCGTTTACATGCTGACCCCCTGCGTTTACATGCTGACCCCTGCGTTTACATGCTGACCCCCTGCGTTTACATGCTGACCCCCTGCGTTTACATGCTGACCCCCTGCGTTTACATGCTGACCCCCTGCGTTTACATGCTGACCCCCTGCGTTTACATGCTGACCCCCTGCGTTTACATGCTGACCCCCTGCGTTTACATGCTGACCCCTGCATTTACATAATGACCCCTGCGTTTACATAATGACCCCTGCGTTTACATGCTGACCCCCTGCGTTTACATGCTGACCCCCTGATTTACATGCTGACCCCTGCGTTTACATGCTGACCCCTGCGTTTACATGCTGACCCCCTGCGTTTACATGCTGACCCCCTGCGTTTACATGCTGACCCCCTGCGTTTACATGCTGACCCCTGCGTTTACATGCTGACCCCCTGCGTTTACATGCTGACCCCTGCGTTTACATGCTGACCCCTGCGTTTACATAATGACCCCTGCGTTTACATGCTGACCCCTGCGTTTACATGCTGACCCCCTGCGTTTACATGCTGACCCCTGCGTTTACATGCTGACCCCCTGCGTTTACATGCTGACCCCCTGCGTTTACATGCTGACCCCCTACGTTTACATGCTGACCCCCTGCGTTTACATGCTGACCCCCTGCGTTTACATGCTGACCCCCTGCGTTTACATGCTGACCCCCTGCGTTTACATGCTGACCCCTGCGTTTACATGCTGACCCCTGCGTTTACATGGGAACCCTTAAAGAGATGGGTGGGGCTAAGGCTTATGAGGGTGTGAACTATGCTGAATGGGCCTAAACCCAGAAGAGCTCTCTAGAAAGTGTGACATTCATTCAACTCCTACTTGTCTCCAAAGTGGGATAACAAGTGTATTACACTTTGCAATGAACTGCAGTGTATTGTATACCATTTTGAAGCTCTGAGTCTAAAATGTAACATAAAATATAAAATAAAATGGGGGGAAAAAGTATTTAGTCAGCCACCAATTGTGCAAGTTTGTCACGCTCGTCTAAGGAGGAGGACCAATGCGCAGCGTTGAAGGTGAACATATTTATATTTATTAGGGTATGATCACATGATCAAAATAACAGACGAAAACGTGATGTCTCTGGTTACATAAACAAACCAAATAAGAACAAGAAACCACAAACACAAAGTGAAAGACAGACAGTTAAATATGGCTCCCAATCAGAGACAACCAGCTGACACTCGTTGCCTCTGATTGGGAGTCACTCAGGCCAACATAGAAATACAAACATAGAATTACACACCCTGGCTCAACATAACAGTGTCCCCAGAGCCAGGGCGTGACAAAGTTCTCCCACTTAAAAAGATGAGAGTGGACGACTGTTGTGATAAAAACAGAAAGAGACAGAAAGAGAGAACGTGAATGTGGCTGGAGTGTTACTGGATGGCATGTTGGTCTGAGTGGCTTTTGCAAGATAACAATAGACTTAGCTTAGAGGTTGAAGTGGTCCGGTGCTGAGAACAGACACCTAGCCTATACAGTAGTTATATAGGATGAGCCATGACTAGAATACAATATATACTCATGAAGTGGTCCTCTGTAGCTCAGCTGGTAGAGCACGGCGCTTGTAACGCCAAGGGTAGTGGGTTCGATCATCCGGGACCACCCATAAACAAAAAAAAATGTATGCACACATGACTGTAAGTCGCTTTGGATAAAAGCGTCTGCTAAATGGCATATTATTATTATTATTATTATGTGGGCCGGTGCTGAGAACAGACACCTAGCCTATACAGCTCGAGCACTGGTACCTCCACCGACTCTAAAATACCAACCTTGATAGGATAATATTAAAAGTGAGAACTGGAACACTTCAACTATTACTTTAGCTTGAATTTGGCTCCTGGCCAAATTCAAACCTGCACGGAACACATTGATCAAGTCACATGAAGCACATTAAATAATTTTGCACCTGTACTTGACTCATGTCTATTATATGCGTGACTCTGAAAAGCCATGCGGTCAAAGCAGTTGAGCTAAGAAAGCTTTAAGAAATATCTTAACTCTACGCACATAATGCAACGCCCCCTAAATCTTTACTTTACACTGTAGTGTAAACCTTAGTGTAAACTTTACACAGGTGTGTTCTGTCTGTCCTCATCCAGTCCCACTACAGGGAGAAGGGAGGGAGGGAGGGAGATGAAAGAGGCACTGACCTCCGGTCTTAAAGAAGCCAGGGGGGCCCTGTGGTATCTAGTGTGTCCCAGGATGGCTCCCCTGTTCTGGGCGGGACCCTGAGGCAGACCCCCCTGGTCATGGCTCTGGCCCTGGGTCTCCACGTCTCGCTCCTGTCCTAGACGCCACTCCAGCTCATCCCTCGCACCGGACTGTGACTGGGGGGGGGGGGGGGGTCAGGGGGGGTGACAGGTGAGGGAAGTGTGTGGGGGTGTGGGGATAGATGGGATGGGGGTGGGGACAGAGGGGATGGAGGTGGGGACAGAGGGGAGGAGGGGAGTGCATGAAGCGGATTGGTGGGTGAACGGAACAAGCAGACGAATGACAACAAACAAACGTGGAGGAATATAAAAAAAAAAAAAAACATAAAAAATGGGTAAAGAAGACAAAGCCAAGGGGGAAAAAATCTACTAAAAACTAAAACAGAACAGACGGGTTAGAGAACTAAAAACTAAAAGAGAACAGAAGGGTTAGAGAACTAAAAACAGAACAGACGGGTTAGAGAACTAAAAACAGAACAGACGGGTTAGAGAACTAAAAACTAAAAGAGAACAGACGGGTTAGAGAACTAAAAACTAAAAGAGAACAGACGGGTTAGAGAACTAAAAACTAAAACAGAACAGACGGGTTAGAGAACTAAAAACTAAAAGAGAACAGACGGGTTAGAGAACTAAAACTAAAAGAGAACAGACGGGTTAGAGAACTAAAAACTAAAACAGAACAGACGGGTAGAGAACTAAAACAGACAGACGGGTTAGAAACTAAAAACTAAAGGAACAAAGGGGGGGTTAGAGAACTAAAAAAAAACAAAAGGGGGGGAAAAAAAAAGCGGGGGAAAACTAAAAACGAACAGACGGGTTTGAGAACCAAAAAAAAAAGGAAACAGACGGGGTTTGAGAACTAAAAAATAAAAAAAAAACAGACGGGGTTTGGAAAAAAATAAAAACAAAAAAAACGGGGTTTTTAAAAATAAAAACAAAAAAGAAAGAAGGGTTAGAGAACCCAAAAAAAGAACCCAAAGGGGGTTTGAAAACTAAAAACTAAAAAAGAACAAAACGGGGTTTGAAACTAAAAAAAAAACAGACGGGTTAGAGAACTAAAAAACAAAACCAAAGGGTTAGAGAAATAAAAAACCCAAAAAAGAACGACGGGTTAGAGAAAACAAAAAAAAGGACAGAAGGGTTAGTGAACTAAAAAACTAAAAGAGAAAAAGACGGGGTTGAGAACTAAAAACAAAAAGAAAAAGGGTTAAGAACTTTAAAAAAATTTAAAAGAACAACGGTTAGGGGAACAAAAAACGGGAAAACCCGGGTTTTGAGAGAAAAAAACAAAAAAACAGACCCGGGGTTTGAGAAATAAAAAAATAAAAAGAACAAAAAGGGGTTTGAGAACTAAAAACAAAAAAAGGGCGGGTTTTAAAAACCAAAAAATAAAAAGAACAGACGGGTTAGAGAACCCAAAAAAAGAAAACCGAAAAGGGTTAGAGAACTAAAAACCAAAAAAACAGAAGGGTTAAGAAAAAAAAACTAAAAAACAGGGCGGGTTAGAGGGAAATAAAAAAAATAAAAAAAGAACAGACGGGTTAGAGAACTAAAAACAGAACGACGGGTTAGAGAACTAAAAACAGAACAGACGGGTTAGAGAACTAAAAACTAAAACAGAACAGACAAGTTAGAGAACTAAAAACAAGAACAGACGGGTTAGAGAACTAAAAACTAAAACAGAACAGACGGGTTAGAGAACTAAAAACTAAAACAGAACAGACGGGTTAGAGAACTAAAAACTAAAACAGAACAGACGGGTTAGAGAACTAAAAACAGAACAGACGGGTTAGAGAACTAAAAACTAAAAGAGAACGACGGGTTAGAGAAAAAAACTAAAAACTAAAAACAGAACAGACGGGTTAGAGAACTAAAAACTAAACAGAAAGAGACACAGACGGGTTAGAGAACTAAAAACTAAAAGAGAACAGACGGGTTAGAGAACTAAAAACTAAAACAGCAGGAAACAACTAATGGAACATAACGGACGGAATGGAACAGAGTTAGAGAACAAAGAAAAGTGCAAAGAGAAAGACCAACTTAAAGACCACGGCGTACGAGAGAGACGAGAAGAGGACTAGAATGAGGATGAACAACATGATTGGCTGAAACATCTGAAGGATGGAGGGAACACAAAGAGGAGGAGAAAAAAAAGAGGGATGGGGGGAAAAAAAGAATGCAAAAACACTGGTTATGAAGCGCATGCAATGAGGGATACATGAGTCCAAACCAACCTGCTGATAGATAGATAGAATATTACCACGGCAAACTGTTAGCTTCAGCTAACTCACCACATGCTAAACGCATGCCAGCAGCCATGCAGTAGAAGCGGTTAGGAAAAGGTAACGTAGCTTAGATCTTAACTCTACACACGTGTAATGCTTTTTTTCTCTTAAAAATTAGTGGACTTTTGTTATAATTTAATTGTTTTATTCAAGGCATATTGCTTCGTTCCCATGCTTCTATTCAGTTGGTCTCAGGTGACTCTGGGGTATCGGGTTAAATAACCACAGCCATTGGAGGCTCGGGAGTCCCGCCTTAACGCACATTTTCGCTGATCGGACTGTCTGTCAATTTGTGGCGGAACAATACATCACAGGCACACAGGCCGCATAGTGCTGCAAATTTGAGATTCTTCTGCAGCGATAGGAAGCAGTCCCGTCATTCTACGACAAACACACATCAATTTATATCTCATTTAATAAAAATAAAAAACTTGAACACAATTTGAAGATGTGAAACACTTTATATTAGATGAAAAGTTCAGATCGTGACGAATCATTAGAGTCGCTAGCGAACTCTGTGGTATGTTCACAGGGGGAGAGAGTCAACAATGAATGACAACAGTGAAGGATTTTCCTGACCACTAGTTACAGTGCATTCGGAAAGTATTCAGACCCGTTGACTTTTTCCACATTTTGTTACTTTACAGCCTTATTCTAAAATTGATTAAATAGAACATGTTCCTAATCAATCTACACACAATAATGACAAAGCAAATTTTTGCTAATTTATTACAAATAAAAAACAGAAATACCTTATTTACATAAGTACTCAGACCCTTTGCTATGAGACTCGAAATTGAGCTCAGATGCATCCTGTTTCCATTGATCATCCCTGAGATGTTTCTACAACTTGATTGGAGTCCACCTGTGGCAAATTCAATTGATTGGACGTGATTTGGAAAGGCACACACATGTCTATATAAGGTCCCACAGTTGACAGTGCATGTCAGAGCAAAAACCAAGCCATGAGGTCGACGGAATTGTCCTTAGAGCTCATGAGACAGGATTGTCTCAAGGCACATATCTGGGGAAGGGTACCAACAATTTTTTTGCAGCATTGAAGGTCCCCAAGAACACAGTAGCCTCCATCATTCTTAAATGGAAGTTTGGAACCACCAAGTACTCTTCCTAGAGCTGGCCGCCTGGCCAAACAATCGGGGGAGAAGGGCCTTGGTCAGGGAGGTGACCAAGAACCCGATGGTCACTCTGACAGAGCTCCAGAGTTCCTCTGTGGAGATGGGAGAACCTTCCAGAAGGACAACCATCTCTGCAGCACTCCACCAATCAGGCCTTTATGGTAGAGTGGCCAGACGGAACCCACTCCTCAGTAAAAGGCACGTGACAGCCCTTAAGGACTCTCAGACCATGAGAAACAAGATTCTCTGATCTGATGAAACCAAGATTTAACTCTTTGGCCTGAATGCCAAGCTTCACATCTGGAGGAAACCAGGCACCGCTCATCACCTGGCCAACACCATCCCTACGGTGAAGCATGATGGTGGCAGCATCATGCTGTGGGGATGTTTTTCAGTGGCAGGGACTGGGAGACTAGTCAGCATCGAGGTAAAGATGAACAGAGCCAAGTACAGAGAGATCCTTGATGAAAACCTGCTCCAGAGCGCTCAGGACCTCAGAAGGTTCACCTTCCAACAGGACAACGACCCTAAGCACACAGCCAAGACAACGCAGGAGTGGCTTCGGGACAAGTCTCTGAATGTCCTTGAGTGGCCCAGCCAGAGCCCGGACTTGAAACTGATCTAACATCTCTGGAGAGACCTGAAAATAGCTGTGCAGCAACGCTCCCCATCCAACCTGACGGAGCTTGAGAGGATCTGCAGAGAAGAATGGGAGAAATTCCCCAAATACAGGTGTGCCAAGCTTGTAGCGTCATACCCAAGAAGACTTGAGGCTGTAATCATTGCCAAAGGTGCTTCAACAAAGTACTGAGTAAAGGGTCAGAGTACTTATGTAAATGTATATCCGTTTTTTAAATTTTTATATACATTTGCAAACATTTCTAAAAACCTGTTTTTGCTTTGTCATTACGGGGTATTGTGTGTAGATTGATGAGGGGGGGAAAACAATTTAATCCATTTTAGAATAAGGCTGTAAAGTAATAACATTTTGAAAAAGTCAAGGGGTCTGAATACTTTCCGAATGCTCTGTATATATAAACATGATTACAGTAATAAGGCCAGCTGAAATCTTATAGTGTGTCAATTATAAAGCTGATTGTGAGTTTTGTAGATGATCAACAACAACAAAATCCAAGCCCTATTCCCCCATTGTTCATGAATAGGTTGTTCATAGCGTATGACGTTTGAAAATGAAATCTACGATGTACTGTTTGTCATAGTATTTCCTATATCATAGATAAATAACAAATACAACAAAGAAAAGCAGAACATCTGAGCTTTCTAACGCTATAAGGTATTAATAGGTACTGTTCATGGCCCTCTCATGGAGATATGTTTTATACAGCCATCCACTTAACATTAACGTTCAACAGGTTTGAACTTTATTTAAAGTTTTTATCATTCAACTTTTTGATTTTAACTTTATTTCCTTTATTTCAGAAATGCGGACAGACCACAGCGTTCATGCTTGAGAGAGTGTTTGGTTGTTGCGGCTGTTTATTTAGTTGTTTGCAGTAGCTGTTGGTTGAGTTACAATATATCTCACACCCAGCCAAGGGGACCTATAGGCAGAGTACAGAGGGTAAAGCAGATCATATGAGCCATGAGCCACTATCGCTAATCCACTGTCAAATGAGAATCTATTCTTAATTGAGAACTTCTTCATTGAACAATCTGCTTAACAGAGGTTCAAAAGAAGACATCCTGCAATACTGCAGTCAGCAGAGGCCGGTGGGGGTTGTTGTTGTTGTGAAAACCACATAGTATGTTTACGTGTTGATTCATTTCATCAGTGGAGGCAGGGTTTGACAGTAGCTTGTTTCTTCTAAAGGCGACTCGGCACTCTGATCTATAAATGGATTGGTTGATTGGTTAAGTCATTGGTTGATTGATCAATTCTGCAAAAAGCCGTCTGGAAGAAACACCTTCGAACCACCGTTTGTCCCCACTGAGTTTGAAGCAGGCATCTGCATGTTGGTTCAGGTCAGGGCGATGGATGAAGTCGTCAGGGTGCTATTTTTGGGTGCAGGTTGCAGGTGCGTATGGGTATGTGGATGCAGCAGCGGTAACGAGTGTGAGAGATGGTGGTTGGGGACTAGGGAGGATGGGGGTGGGGACTAGGGAGGATGGGGTGGGGACTAGGGAGGATGGGGGTGGGGACTAGGGAGGATGGGGGTGGGGACTAGGGAGGATGGGGGTGGGGACTGTGTGGCTGAGCTGGGTGGCTTGAGGTGGGGCAGTGGCTGCTGTGGCCCCTGGGAACCTCTGCAGGTAGCTTAGTGGGTAAGAGCGTTGTGCCAGTAACCGAAAGGTCGCTGGTTCTAATCCCTGAGCCGACTAGGTGAAAAATCTGTCGATGTGCCCTTGAGCAAGGCACTTAACCCTAATTGCTCATGTAAATCGCTCTGGATAAGAGCGTCTGCTAAATGACTAAAATGTAAATGTACACCTCTTGTTTCTCAATCCATCGATCAAGATGTTCACAATTTTTGTTTTAGCCCAGCACTAAAACAACTGATTCAGTTGGTTCATTGAATCCGGTGTGGTAGTGCTGGGATAGAGAACAGATGAGCACCCACTGGCGGTCCCCAGGAATATGCAGTGTTGCGTCTGAACATAGGGGTCCATAGATGTTGTTTGTTTATGCCTCATGACGTGTGTTGAACTTGAGACCAGTGTGAAACAGACTTTAAATTAAAAACTTGACTTGTGTTCTGAGTGGACCAGTCCTTTAATAAAGCTGTCCAGACCTGGGGCTATCTCCCAAATGGCACCCTATGGGCCCTGGTGAAACGTAGTGCACTATATAGGGACTAGGGTGCCATTTCAGACCTGGCACCCCTATGGGCCCTGATGAAACGTAGTGCACTACATAGGGACTAGGGTGCCATTTCAGACCTGGCTAGCTGTGATGAATGGTTCTGTGTATTTGCCGCGCTACGCTGCATTAGCATCACATTTAGAGGCTGGGAATGGCTCTACCACGACTGCTCACTTGGATGAGTTCAAAATCCAGTAGTAATGGACTGTACCATTTACACAGACTCCCCTTTGGGGTTTTATACCGTTTAAATCAAGTAGTAATGGACTGTACCATTTACACAGACTCCCCTTTGGGGTTTTATACTGTTTAAATCCAGTAGTAATGGACTGTACCATTTACACAGACTCCCCTTGGGGTTTTATACTGTTTAAATCCAGTAGTAATGGACTCTACCATTTACACAGACTCCCCTTGGGGTTTTATACTGTTTAAATCCAGTAGTAATGGACTCTACCATTTACACAGACTCCCCTTTGGGGTTTTATACTGTTTAAATCCAGTAGCAATGGACTGTACCATTTACACAGACTCCCCTTGGGGTTTTATACTGTTTAAATCCAGTAGCAATGGACTGTACCATTTACACAGACTCCCCTTGGGGTTTTATACTGTTTAAATCCAGTAGCAATGGACTGTACCATTTACACAGACTCCCCTTTGGGGTTTTATACTGTTTAAATCCAGTAGCAACGGACTCTACCATTTACACAGACTCCCTTTATGGGTTTTGTAATTCTCCTGTCTGTGACTCTGTCTGCGTTCCCAAGTGGCACCCTAGTCACTTTTAAAGTACTTTTATAGTGCATTACACAAAAGTAGTGTTCTAGGGAATAGGGTACCATTTGGGACTGACCCCCTGGATTGTCTATATCCCCTTGGCTAAACGTTACTTTGCAGATTAACCCTATTCCTCACTGCTGTTTAAAGTCACATTGCGCTCTCTGACAAGACATGTTCATTACTTCAACCTTCTTTTTATTGCTCTTTTGATCCTCCGGTATCATAATGCCTCAGAAGGAATACGGGTGAGCATGTTTTATGTCTAATAGTTATTCATGCTTCGCAAAAATAACCCCCTTTTTTATGTCCCGGTTAATGAACAAATATCAACTACGTTTTATTACTGTAATGTTTTCCATAATAACTTCTAACTGACTTATTAATAAGTCTTATTGATACTTATTGATACTTGAGCCAATAAGGAAGCAGCCAGGGGGTTGACGTCCAGATGTAGCAGGGAGACAGTACAAACGTGTATTGGGGCGTGGTCTGCAACCCAGGTGGCACCTTATTCCTTATTTAGTGCATTACTTTAGACCAGGGCCTATAGGGCTCTGAACTGGTGCAAGCTGGAAATACTTGCTCCAAACCGAGGACAGCAGTCAAATGCTCCTTATATGAGACAAGGGCTTAAGCCAAGTAAAGCAAGCCATAAGGATCTGGTCAAAAGTAGTCACTACATAGTGAATAGTGTGCCGTTTCGGCCGTACCCCTGGATAGAGACAGATACAGGTCAGAGGTCACAGGAGTGTCCCGTCCTGTCTTCCTTACCTGGAAGTCTGTAACCAGGTCGCGTCCCAGGGTGCTGATGGGCGAGTCTCGGGACATGGAGGTGACCCCTGACAGGAAGCTGCTGGACTCGGTAAGGTTGGGCATGGGCGACAGGTCGTCCCCCCGATCCCGGTCCCCTCCCCTCTCCCTCAGCCCGTCTCCCAGGTGATCCACCTTGTCCATGAAGATATGGAGCTCTGTCCTGAAGGCCTTCATACGGGTGTTGATAGTGTCCAGGACCTGGGAGTCTTGTAGGGACTCGGGGAGGGTGGTGGTGTCCCCCCTGTCCTCTCCACTTCCCTCCCCTCTGTGTCCTCTGAACCCCTCTATGCAGAGACTGTCCCCTCCTGTTACTACAATCTTTCCCTCGTAGATCAGACTGTCCGTGTCGGTAATGAGACGGTCTACAGTCTTCCCAAGACGCTCTGCTTCTCGTTTGACGTTCATGAACATCTCGCGTTCTTCTCGTCTGAGGTTGGCTAGTTCCGTGGCGTCTGAGGGCTTGTGACTTCCGAACCCCGATGTCGTGGTCGTCTTCTCAAACAGGTCCTCCGAGTCGCTCTCGCCGCCGACAGGCCCCTCCCTCTTGGGGTGTAGGAGGAGGAGCCTCCCGGTCTCTTCCTCCTCGGCGGTGTCGCGGCGGCCGGTGTCGCTGTCTGCATCGCTGTCCCGTGGGGAGCCGGTGCGGAGGCCCAGGTGTTGGGCCAGGTCACAGCGCTGAACGTTGGACATCAGGACTCTGTTCTCATACTGCAGCTTCATTACCTGGACGGGTGAGGAGACAAGACACCATTATGTTAGCTTCAGGAACGTCTTAAGATAAAACGTCTTTATTAAGATAACAACCGGATACAATGCACAGAGCATTATGGGTACTGTAGTGCGTCATACACCGAGCATTATGGGTATTGTAGTACTACATACACAGAGCATTATGGGTACTGTAGTACTACATACACAGAGCATTATGGGTACTGTAGTACATCATACACAGAGCATTATGGGTACTGTAGTACATCATACACAGAGCATTATGGGTACTGTAGTACATCATACACAGAGCATTATGGGTACTGTAGTACATCATACACAGAGCATTATGGGTACTGTAGTACATCATACACAGAGCATTATCGGTACTGTAGTACATCATACACAGAGCATTATGGGTACTGTAGTACATCATGCTACACACCTTCCCGCTGAGCTCGTTGATCTGCATCCTGGCTGCTTTCAGCTCCTCCATCATCACCACACCGCTCCCGTTACCCCCGCTGCCACCGTTACTCCCATTACCGGTCTTCATCAGCATCACTCCGACCTCAACCTCCTCGTCTCTCGGGCCGAACTTGAAGCGGTTCAGTTCGGAGGTCAGCTGTTTGTTGTGGTCCTCGATCTCTGAGATGGACCGCCGGAGAAGTTCTGCCTCTTCCTCTACAAACTGTAGGTGGCGCCGCAGCTCCCCGGCTGACTCCAGAGCGTCTCCGCCATACGGGGAGGAGGGCATGCTGCCGAAGGGCTCCCGGCCGAAACAGTCCCTCTCGTACTGGCAGCGGATGTCCTCGTTCTCAGCCCTCAGGCCTCGGTTCTCCACCTGATAATAATGATAATAATGTTTTTTATTTATGAAATGATTTTCATGCTATACAAAGTTAAAATTGAAGACAAAGTTTGTGTCCGAAATGACCTCCTATTCGCTATGTAGTGCACTACTTTAGACCAGAGCCCCCTGGGTCTAAAGTAGTGCTTAGGACTCTGGTCTAAAATAGTGGAAAAGGGTGACGTTTGGGACACACAGCCAAAGGTAAAACAGTCAGGGCACCTACCTCTAGTTCAACGATCTTCCTCCCCAGAATATTAGCCTCTTCCTCCACCAGTTTGAGCCGGAGCCGTAGCTCGGCCTCCCTGGTGCTGTGAGGCCCACCACCGGCAAGCTCTGCCAGGGGTAGAGGGCTGTCCACGTCCCCGTAGACTGACTTATACTTCTGGATCTCCTGCTCCAGCTCTTCCTTCTCCCTCCCCAGCTTGGCCATCTTCTTACGCATGAGGGTGGATTCTTCCTTAGAGAACTGCAGCTGGCACCTGAGATCTGCACTGTCGTCCTGGTTCACATACTTCTTGTCCTTAAACGTTTCCCTGCTCCCTCTCCGCCGTAAAGCGGTCTGTGAGAAGGAAGGAGAAAGTAGCAGTTGTCACAAAGTGCTTATACAGTAACCCAGCCTAAAACCCCAAACAGCAAGCAATGCAGATGTAGAAGCACGGTGGCTAGGAAAAACTCCCTAGAAAGGCAGGAACCTAAGAAGAAACCTAGAGAGGAACCAGGCTCTGAGGGGTGGCCAGTCCTCTTCTGGCTGTGCCGGGTGGAGATTATAAGAGTACATGGCCATTTCAGGCCAGATCGTTCTTCAAAATGTTAAAACGTTCATAGATGACCAGCAGGGTCAAATAATAATCCCAGTGGTTGTAGAGGGTGCAACAAGTCAGCACCTCAGGAGTAAATGTCAGTTGGCTTTTCACAGCTGAGCATTCAGAGGTCGAGACAGCAGGTGCGGACTCCTTTGAAGTGAGTTTAAAGTCTACATGTTCAGAGAGACAGACGGGCAGACGGACAGACAGACAGACAGACAGAGAGAGACAGACAGAGAGACAGACAGAGAGAGAGACAGACAGAGAGAGAGAGAGACAGATGGACAGAGAGACAGACGGGCAGACGGACAGACATGCAGGCAGGCAGGCAGACATGCAGGCAGACAGAGAGAGAGACAGACAGAGAGACAGACAGATGGACAGAGAGACAGACGGGCAGACGGACAGACATGCAGGCAGGCAGGCAGACATGCAGGCAGGCAGGCAGGCAGACAGACAGACAGAGAGAGAGACGGACAGACATGCAGGCAGGCAGGCAGACAGACAGACAGAGAGAGAGACGGACAGAGAGAGAGACAGACAGATGGACAGAAAGACAGAGAGACAGACAGACAGACAGACAGACACACGTTGCCCCCTCTGTCCTGTGTTTACTCCCATGTTATGGTGCTGTAACCAAGTGGGTTCCCCAACATAAACTGAGACCAGGAAGTGAGTGAGTCAAGGTCTGTCCCTGCCGGGTGTAACGAGGTCACAACACCCTCAGTCTTTCCATCTGGCTGGCCATCTATGATTCACTTACACGACTAGCTAGCACCGCTAGGCTATTCAAGTTAGCACTACATTTACTGATGTGGAGAGGAGACTTGGGGATTTGGTTTTGAAGTTTTATGTATTTTCCTAAGCCATCGGAGATTGTAAATGTCACGTGGGTTTGACTTTATAACGCGTCTATAGCTGCCACACGGTGGTCTCATAGGAATCGGTAGAAATGTCTTAATAAGTAACAATTCATGATTCACCTGAAATGGTCAAACTTGGGACTCAGATATTTATTTAGCAACATTCTGCAGTATATACCAGTGTAAATCAGGTGGCAGAAGTCTACATGTCTTTCAGTCCAAAAAAAAAAGGCTTCAGAAAATAGCCTTCTGTGACCCAGGAAAACAAAACTGCTAAGTTTCAATATCATTACGTAGATAATGTTATGAACATGAACACTGTGTGATTCAAAAAACGTGGGAAATGTGCACATTCAATTTAATATTATAAATCAAAGGTACGAATTTCGAAATCATAACAAATATTTTGGGTAATTGCCCCTAGCAACATTGTGAGGTTGCCATGTTACATCTCGGTTACCAATGTTACAAACATTCCATGTCCAGTGCAGAAAGCAACGCATTAATACTGGACTGGAGGAATCCCGAAATAATAAGAGATAATAAGAACCTGTTAACGGCTAAATAAATGTTTCTCAGATGCCAGAACAGTGTTTAATTTAGCTGTCGGGACGTTGCTTTGTTGTAGCCCTTTCCTGCATTTGAATGCATGGGTGGAATGTTAATATTTTCATAATTAACAAACGTGTCAAACGGTTTAGTTATGTTTCGGTCTTCCGTGATGTATATAAAGTGTAGTATTGTGATGCAAACTCAAAATGGAATACATTTCAACTCTATATCTGACATGGTACAGGTGTCTTATTTATTTCAAACAACCGTGTGTGTGTGTGTGTGAGGTGTATACTTTTGTTTCAAAGTAGATTTGTTTAAGACTAAAAGAAACACTCTGTGTGACCCTGACTTAAGCCCACCGCAGTAAAAGGTTATTCATAGCTGTGTTAACTGTATTTAGTTTGGCTAGCAGGCAAGAGCAATGGAGGCCTTTGTAGGCTAAATACAGCTGCCAAAACGTCTTATAATAACTGAGAAAAACCACATGGTTAAAATATATTTCCACGTTTCGGGGTTCATCTGGATCAGGTGAAGGTAACATCTGTTTGCTTGAGCTGATGCAAGGAGGAACCCTGAACGCACCACATAGTTCTGTGTGCCAGTGTGGACCCCAGGATGGAGTAGCTGGTCCTGTTGCAAATAAATACCAAATAAATACCAAATAAATACCAAATAAATACCAAATAAATACCAAATAAATACCAAATAAATACCAAATAAATACCAAATAAATACCAAAGTGTGCAACAAAAGTAACCAAGGTGAAACATATCGATGTCGGAATGTTTAATGTTCATTACATTATATACATTATGTTGCTGAAATGTAGCATTTCCGTTTTCACGGAACAACACACATTTTTTTTGGGTGGGTGGCCCTTGGACCATTTGTCATACTGCCTGATTTATTGACAGTTTGCCTGGTGTGAGTGTGAATCAGTGTGAGACGTGGCGTTGCGTCGGTGTGATCAGAAATATAGAACAAGCAGCAGGTTGTGTCCTAAAAAAGGGACCAACATTAAACTGTCATCAGAACCTTTCCCACTGGGCACAGACGTCAATTCAACATCTATTCCACGTTGGTTCAACGTCATTTCATTGAAATGACGTGGAAACAACATTGATTCAACCAGTGTGTGCCCAGTGGGTTTAAATAACTACACAGCACCAGCAATCTGTTCCTGAATCTCTTCGCACCACTTTAAAAGCTCTGCATTAAAGCCTGTCGCATGCTAGCTAGCCAGTCTAAATGGTTTGCATTAAAGCCTGTCGCATGCTAGCTAGCCAGTCTAAATGGTTTGTGCATATATTATTATGTTATGACAAGATTTTTAAAGTTTTTATTACATTTACTTGTACATTTACGTCATTTAGCAGACGCTCTTATCCAGAGCGACTTACAAATTGGTGCATTCACCTTATAGCCAGTGGGACAACCACTTTACATTGTTTATTATTTTTTGGGGGGGGGTGGGTAAGAGGGGGGTAGAAGGATTACTTTATCCTATCCCGGGGTATTCCTTAAAGAGGTGGGGTTTCAATGTCTCACGGAAGGTGGTGAGTGACTCCGCTGTCCTGGCGTCGTGAGGGAGCTTTGGGGTGCCCGAACAGCGAGCAGTTTTGACTGGGCTGAGCGGTTTAGTTTTAGGGCTGAGCGGGAACTGTGCTTGGTTTTGGTGTTCGGCCGGGTTTACTACATTTGTTCTTGAGGCAAGTCGAAGTTCGGTAGCTGAAGTCTACACCCCTTCGTCGGTAATTGGTCAACAGTAGGGATGAGAAGTATGGACAGGATTTTTCAACAAAGTGTTTGTTGTCATTCACAACGAGAGACGACTAGTTTTCCTGCAAAACATTTTCACTTGAGAAATACTGCACCAAACATCTTTTGCTAGATGTAAAATTGCACGTCTAAGACCTCCTCGACAAAAATGTCAAATTTAATGACAGATTCGTTTTAGATTAATTCAGACTATTTTGAGGAAGTGTTACTGGCTATGTAGTTGCTACGGTGTCTCGAGAGGGACAAACGTTTTTTCAAGCAAAGGTCTTTTAAGGTATGCGAGCAAAGACGTTAGACGTTAGCATAGACGTATAGACGTTAGCATAGACGTTAGACGTTAGCATAGACGTTAGACGTTAGCATAGACGTTAGACGTTAGCATAGACGTTGGCTTTCGCCTAGCCAGGTTCTGCTAGGAGCAAACAGAACCTAGGATTGGTGTGTGTGTGTGTGTGTGTATGTGTGCGTGTGTGTGTGTTCGCGCAAGTAGGCAATGCATGTACTGTAATAACTGAGGGAGAACAGCCAGAGCAGGGCTTGAACCAGCGACCTTATGCTTAAAGGGTGAGTGTGTTACCATCTGTGCCATTAAAGCTTGGACCTCTTGACAGAGGCAATAGTACACTCACATACAGTGAGGAGGCTACACGTGTAGCGCTGTAAAAACACCACAGGCTGACATCACATCACAGTCACACATGAAATTCTGTATACCCATGTGGTTACAAAACGCTGAGGTAAGTCTCCGGCCACTATGACATAGCCTAAATACACAGGCACGCACACACACGCACGCACGCACGCACGCACGCACGCACGCACGCACACGCACAAGCACACTAAGCAGCAGCTTCTATGGCTGTGATCTGTTTTACTATAGTAGTGTAGATATGATCACAGTATTACTATAGTAGTGTAGATATGATCACAGTATTACTATAGTAGCATAGATATGATCACAGTATTACTATAGTACTGTAGATATGATAACAGTAATACTATAGTAGTGTAGATATGATCACAGTAATACTATAGTAGCATAGATATGATCACAGTATTACTATAGTAGCGTAGATATGATCACAGTATTACTATAGTAGCGTAGATATGATCACAGTATTACTATAGTAGCGTAGATATGATCACAGTATTACTATAGTAGTGTAGATATGATCACAGTTTTACTATAGTAGTGTAGATATGATCACAGTATTACTATAGTAGTGTAGATATGATCACAGTATTACTATAGTAGTGTAGATATGATCACAGTTTTACTATAGTAGTGTAGATATGATCACAGTATTACTATAGTAGTGTAGATATGATCACAGTTTTACTATAGTAGTGTAGATATGGTCAAAGTATTACTGCAGTAGTGTAGATATGATCACAGTATTACTATAGTAGTGTAGATATGATCACAGTATTACTGCAGTAGTGTAGATATGATCACAGTATTACTATAGTAGTGTAGATATGATCACAGTATTACTGCAGTAGTGTAGATATGATCACAGTATTACTGCAGTAGTGTAGATATGATCACAGTATTACTATAGTAGTGTAGATATGATCACAGTATTACTGCAGTAGTGTAGATATGATCACAGTATTACTGCAGTAGTGTAGATATGATCACAGTATTACTGCAGTAGTGTAGATATGATCACAGTATTACTGCAGTAGTGTAGATATGATCACAGTATTACTATAGTAGCATAGATATGATCACAGTATTACATAGTAGTGTATATATGATCACAGTAATTACTATAGTATGGATATGATCACGTATTACTGCATAGTGTAGATATATCACAGTATACTGCAGTAGTGTACTGACCCCTGTCCATTAAAAGCAGTGGTGCGATGGGAGATACTACAACAAGCCTTAGTACTCCCAGGTATCACACACACACGCACACGCACACGCACACACACACGCACACACACACACACACATCCGCACACACACACCGCACACACACACACACACACACACCGCACACACACACACTAGTACTGAGTGATTAACTGATTAACCAAGTAATTGACTGACTGTCAGTTTAATTACTTGAATTCCATTAGTTTTTTGTGTGAGCCCAATGCGCCGTTTCTCTAGAGAGAAATCAAATCATTCACGAGAGAAATCGAGTCAAGAAGTGTGGGACGCTGGGCTGAAGGGAGTTGTAGTTTTCATTAAGCAAATATTCAACCTAGTTCAGTGCAGAAATGTGGTAATTAACAACAATGACCTAATCCATTGCGCCTGTTCTTTCCAGAGACGGATACACTTTTACGCCGGCTACGTTAGGTTAAATCAGGGCTCAACAAACCCTGTTCCTGGAGAGCTATCCTCCTGTAGGTTTTCACTCCAAAACCTACAGGACAGGACGATAGCTCTCCAGGAACAGGGTTGGTGAAAGTATGCCTTATGTACTTTGAAGAACTAGCACAATTATTTAGTCAGACAGCTCTGCAGCATTCTTAGGCAGGCTAGCTAAATAGGATGACTAAAGACAGGACAATATGGAGCACATACAGTGAGGGAAAAAAGTATTTGATCCCCTGCTCATTTTGTACGTTTGCCCACTGACAAAGACATGATCAGTCTATAATTTTAATGGTAGGTTATTTTGAACATGAGAGACAGAATAAACAAAAAAAAAATCCAGAAACGCAGTCACGGAACACCCACATTTTTTTGTGGGTGGCCCTTGGACCATTTGTCATACTGCCTGATTTATTGACAGTTTGCCTGTGTGAGTGTGAAACCCCATCAGTGTGAACGTGGCGTTTGCGTCTGTGTATCAGAAAGATGAACAACAGCAGGTTTTTCCGAACAAAAAGGGACCAACAGTAAACTGTCATCAGAACCTTTCCCATGTGCACAGACTCATTCACATCTATGCCACGTTGGTTCAACGTCTTTCATTGAATGACGTGAAACAACATTGATTCAACCAGTGTGTGCCCAGTGGGTTTTAAATAAACTACCATAGCACCAGCAATGCTTTTTTCCTAGTCTCTTCGCACCACTTTTAAAGCTCTGCAGTAAAGCTTCGCATGCGAGCTAGCCATTCTAAATGGTTTGCATTAAAGCCTGTCGCTGCTAGCTAGCCAGTCAAATGGTTGGTGGCATATAATTTTATTTTTCCAGATTTTTAAAGTTTTTATTACATTTGACTTGTACATTTTACGTCATTTTATGCAGACGCTCTTACCAGAGCGACTTAACAAATTGTTGCATTCACCTTATAGCCGTGGACACCCAACTTTACACATATTTTTATTTATTTTTTGTTGGGGGGTTGGTTAAAGGGGAGGGGGGGGGGGCGGGGGGGGGGGGGGGGTAGAAGGATTAACTTTATCCTATCCCAGTATTCTTAAAAGGTGGGGTTTCAAAGGTCTCCGGAAGTTGGTGATGACTCCGCTGTCCCTGGCGTCCGTGAGGGAGCTTTGTTGGGTCCCGAGCCTCGAAGCAGTTTTTGACTGGGCTGATCGGTTTGTTTTATGGCAGAGCGGGAACTGTGCGTGGTTTGGGTGTTTCGGCCCGGGTTACTACATTTGTTCTTGATGCCATCGAAGTTCGGTAGCTGAAATCTACACCCCGTTCTCGGTATTGGTCAACATAGGGGATGAAAGTATGTACAGGATTTTTAACAAAGTGTTTGTTGTCATTCACAACTAAAAAACGAGAGACGACTAGTTTTTCCTGCAAAACATTTCACTTGAAATACGGCACCAAACATCTTTTGCTAGATGTAAATGCAAGTCTAAGACCCTCCTCGACAAAACTGTCAAATTTAATGACAGATTTCGTTTTAGATTAATTCAGACTATTTTGAGGAAGGTTACTGGCTATGTAGGTTGCTACGTTGTCTCGATAGGTGACAAACTTTTTTCAAGCAAAGGTCTTTTAAGGTAATGCGCAGCAAAGACGTTGACGTTAGCATAGACGTATAGACTTTAGCAATAGACGTTAGACTTTAGCCTAGACGTTACCGTTACGAAGACGTTAGACGTTAGCAATAGACGTTGGCTTCGCCTAGCAGTTCCTGCTAGGAGTCAACGAACCTAGGATTGGTGTGTGTGTGTGTGTTGTAATGGTGTGCGTGTGTGTGTGTTCGCGCAAGAGGCAATGCATGTAACTGTAATAACGGAGGGAGAAAACAGCCAGAGCAGGGCTTGAACCAGCGACCCTTTATGCTTAAAGGGTGGTGTGGTACATCTGTGCCATAAAGCTTAGGACCTCTTGACAGAGGCAATAGTAACACTCACATACGTGAGGAGGCTACAACGTGGAGCGCTGTAAAACAACCACAGGCTGACATCCACATCACGGTCACACATAAATTCGGGTACCCATGGGGGGTCTCAAAACCGAGGTCAGGTCTCCGGCCACGATGACATAGCCTAAATACACAGGCAACGCCACACACGCACGCCGCACGCACGCACGCACCACGCAGCGCACGCACACGCCAAGCACACTAAGCAGCACTTCATGGCTGTGAGCTGTTTTACTATAGTAAGGTAAGATATGAGCACGTAGTACTATAGTAGGGGTGAGAGAATCACAGTATGACTATAGTAGCATAGAGAGGAGCACAAGTAGTTACTCTCGTACGTAGAGATGATAACAAGTACTACTATAGTAGTGTAGATATGATCCAGTAGACTATAGTAGCATAATAAAAAAAAAAAATTATGATCACAGTATTACATATTAGCGTAGATATGATCACAGTCTTACTCTAGTACGTAGATATGACACAGTATTACTATAGGAGCGTAGATATGATCAAAGTATTACTATAGTAGTGTAGATATGATCACCGTTTTAACTATAGTATGTCATATATGATCACAGTCCTTACTATGTAGTGGTGATCTGATCACAGTATTACTAAGTAGTGTGATATGATCACGTTTTACTATAGTATGTAATATGAATCACAGTAATACTATAGTAGTGTAGATATGATCACGTTTTACTAATAGTAGTGTAGATATGGTCAAAGTAGTGACTGCAGTAGTGTAATATGATCACAGTATTACTAAGTATGTAGATATGCATCACAGTATACTGCAGTAGTGTAGATAATCACAGATTACTATATTAGTGTAGATATACACAGTATTACGGCATAGTGTAGAGATGATCATCAGTAATTACTGCAGTAAAGTGTAGATATGATCACAGTATACTAGTAGTGTCGATATGAATCACAGTATTACTGCATTAGTGTAGATATGAGCCATTTTTACTGCAGTAGTGTAGATATGATCAACGTAGTTACTGCAGTAGTGTAATTAATAATCACAGTAATTACTGCGTAGTGTGATATGATCACAGTATTACTATAGTAACATAGATATGATCACAGTTTTTTTTTTTTAAAAATTACTATATATAGTGTATATATATCACAGTATTACTATAGTAGTGTAGATATAATCACAGTTTACTGCAGTAGGTAGATATGATCCACAGTATTACTGCCGTAGTGTACGAACCCTGATCCATTAAAGCAGTGGTGCGATGGTAGAGTCTACAACAATCCTTAGTAACTCCCATGTTAGCACACACACACTCCATCACGCGACACGCACAACACACGACCGCACACACACACACACTCACACATACGCAACAACACATCCGCACACACACCACACACACACACCGCACACACACACATAGTAACGAGTGATTAATACTGATTAACCAAGGAATTGACTGACTGTCATTTTAATTACTTGATTCCATTAGGTTTTTTGTGTGAGTCCCAATTCGCGTTCCTCTAGAGAGACATCAACACATTCACGAGAGAAATCGAGTCAAAAAGTGTGGACGCTGGGCGAAGGGGTTGAGTTTTCATTAAGCAAATCTTCAACCTAGTTCAGTGCAGAGCGTTGTAATAACCTACAATGACCGAAATCCTTGCGCCTGTTTGCTTTTTCTTTCAAGACGGTACACTTTTACGTGCCGGCTACGTTAGGTTTAAATCAGGGCTCACAAACCCTGTGCTGGAAGCTACCCTCCTGTAGGTTTTCACTCCAAACCTACAGGACAGGACGATAGCTCCCAGAACAGGGTTGGTGAAAGTAAATGCCCTTATGTACTTTTGAAGAACTAAGCACAATAGTTTAGTCGACGGCACTGCAAAGCATTCTAGGCAGCTAAGCGAAATAGAGCTGACTACAGCCAGGACAATACTGGACACAGACAGTAGGTGAAAAAAGTATGTTGATCCCCTGCCCTCATTTTGTACTTGGCCCACTGACAAAGACATGATCAGTCTATAATTTAATGGTAGGTTTTATTTTGAACAGTGAAGAGACCGAAGAACACAACAAAAAATCCAGAAAAACGCATGTCCAAAGGTTATAAATGTATTGGCATTTTCCTGATGAAATAAGTATTTGACCCCCGCTGCAAAACAGACTTAGTACCTTGGTGGCAAAACCGTTGTTGGCTAAAGATGCACAGTACGGAGCACAATAGAAACTTTAGATGGTTTCTGGCTGTCGGCTGCTACTAACTGTTGCTGCCTGACAGAACATATGAGACTTTAAAAGAAGAAAAATAACAAGTACTCAAATAAAACAAATCTATACAAACTTAATACATTAACTTAATACATAACTTATTTTTTTGATTAGTTCATGTAATTTCTATGATGTCACCCCTGTGACCGGACAGAGACCTATTTTTGGCTTGGAATTTCCATTAAAAAGCTAAAATCAATGTTTGTTGACGGGAGACAAAACCAGCATTAGCACTGTTGTCTCTGTAGCTCAAAGACCGAGTGGCTTAGAATTAAAACAACACCGAATTACCTAGTGGTGTTCCTCAATACCCTTATTACATCAGGCTCTCTCTCTCTCCTCTCTCTCTCTCTCTCGTCTCCCACTTCTCCCCATCCTCTCTCTCGTCTCTCCCCTCTCTTCTCTCTCTCACTGCCTCTCTCCTCCCCCCTCTCCTCTCCTCCTCTCTCCTCTCACTCTCCTCTCTCTCCCTCTCCGTCTCGCGTCTCGTCGTCTGCTGAGGGTCTCTCATTCCTCTCAGCTCTCTCTCATCTCTCCACGTTCTCTCCTCTCTCTCTCTCGATCTCTCTCTCTCTCTCTGAATCCTGTCTCCCGTCCGTCTCTTACGGTCCGCTGTTCTCGTCTCTCATCGGCGGGCCCATCGAGGCGTCCCCCTCTCTCATAGCGTACCACTCCGCTCCTCAGTGCCGAGCCGGGTCTCTCCCTCCCCCCCCTCGATCTCTCCTCTACGGCGAGTCTCATGCGTTCGCCATCGTCCAGTCCTCTCTCGCTCTCGGAACTCTCGTGTCGTCTCTCGTCCCTCATCCGCCTTCCTCTCGGTTCTTCCGTCCCCCTCTCCGTCACCCCTCTCCGCCTCGACATCTCCCTTCGTCTCTCTCCCGGAGACGGGAGTAGAGAAGGGCAGGAAAAAAAGAGAAGAAAAACTGGAAAGTCCTCCTCTCTCTCTCTTATCTCTGTCTCCCTCGTCCGTCTCTCTCTCTTTTTACATGGTCACCTCTATCTCCCCATCCCCCTCTCCTGTTTCCTACTGTTATTACAAAGTCTAATCCATTTGGCAGGAGAGTAGCAGCAGCAGCAGCCATTTTAAGTTGGCAGTACGGGCTAGCTTGCCTCTGCCATGAGTCAGTGTAGGGATCCCTGTATAATTCCCTGCAGGCTGACATTCAGGGCTAATCTCTCTGGGGAGAGACAGGATTAACAAGATCTTCCTCCTCCTTGCAGCACCATCTAACGCCATACTACTAAATCCCCATACCCCCCTTCTATACTACAGTTCACCCCCCATAGCTTACCAGGGCTGACCAGGTCTGACCATGGCTGACCCAGGCTGACCAGGCCTGACCATGCTGACCCATCTGACCCGCTGACCAGGCTGGACCAGTCGTACCGGCTGACCAGGCTGAACCATGGCTTTGACAGGCTTACAGTGCTGACCAGGCTGACCAGGCTGACCATGGCTGACCAGGCTGACCAGGCTGACCAGGCTGACCATGGCTGACCAGGCTGACCAGGCTGACCATGGCTGACCAGGCTGACCAGGCTGACCATGGCTGACCATGGCTGACCAGGCTGACCATGGCTGACTTCAGTAGGGTGCAATGTTGTGGAACATTTGGATAGTAATGGATCAAGCCAGGCTCTTTCAAATAATACACGAAGTACTATCCGCAGCATTCAGTAAAAAAAAAAACTCAAAACCAACCTCCCAGCCTGATGAACTTAGAACAAAAGGCCACAGTCATTATGGTCTCCTCTAACATTGTTTCATATGCTGATTAGAGAATTCATAGAAATGCTGTAGAGAGATCGAGAACCAGCGTAGAGAGAGAAGAGAGAGAGAGCGATAGAGCTAGAGACGAGAGAGAGAGAGAGATAGCATCGCAGATATCATATATCGAGCATATCAGCGCGAGAGATAGAGAGCACTATGTAAATTTTTGTTTGGCTATGTTTCGTGAAACGTCTTTGTCCCCTGGTATAAGTGGTGTGTCTTCTACTGTACTGTAAGGTATAGGGTCATTCTGTACTGTAAGGTATAGGTCTACTATAATGATGTTATTCTTCGTAACTCCTATACACAATAGGTCAAATGTTCCAATAAGAAGACATCAAATAATCACCATCATTGTAGTAAAACCATGAAAAGCAGTTAAATAATAATGCTCTACCAGCTGAGCTACAGAGGACCAGTACTCTGAAACACCCAAAGTTGTGAAAACACTTGTTGTTGTTTCAGTACATATGATAACTAAACCGGACAGATCTTTTGAACTGTCCTTTAACCATCTAAAAAGTGAAATACCTTTTTAATAATTTTGTCATTTTGATATTTTGCCAAGAAACAGATAAAGCATTTTTGAAGCTTCAAAATCATGTCTTCAAAAAAATGTTATACTCATTATCATCCTTGACAAACTTATTAATTTGTGTTTTATTTTTGTATTTTGTCCTAATATAATACTGTCCGTTTGACCTTTTGGAATTGACCAATGAGGAGTTTACAACACAACATAATAGAAACAGGGACTTACCCATCAAGAGGGAGGCGCTTCCCAAATCCAGAATAACGGATCTAATTCTGCATTACACAGGACTGGAAATACCATAGTGTTTTTAATATTTTCTGGGTTAGTGCTCTTGATTATGATAGGGTGTCACAACCACCTGTTTCAGAATTTCAGACACCAATGATGATGTCTCAGTGCAGCACCTTGAATCTGTCCCAATAGCCCTCACACCAACCATGTGTTTCGAACACAAATGATGAATGTTCGCCGGGCAACCCTACAGCTGTCCCCAATACCCAACCCTCACAACCATGTGTTTCAGAACCACCAGGATGAAATGTCGCAGGTGTCACTTGAAAATCTTGTCCCAATAACCCTCACAACCATGTGTTTCAGAACACCAGGATGAATGTCTCAGTGCACCTTGAATCTGTCCCAATACCCTCACAACCATGTTGTTTCAATACTCCAGCAGAGTTACGTTTTGTTTCCTTGAAGGTGGTGACAGCTCAGTTGCCACTAGTTTCTGTGTCACAAAGCACTTCATTTTAACAGTGTAGTGGGTCAATGAGTGAGATTAGGAAGCACAGTGTGACAGTAAGCCATTTCCAAAAAAATTTTCAAACATGGCTAAAGCTGCATTAAGAGTGGTACCTACGTCTGTCGGGCTCAGAACAATGCATAATCACCACACTGATTGTTTAGGCTGAGCTTGGCCACACTGCAACAACAAATACATTCAAATAGTTACAAAACACAGATGAACCATTGACAGAGGACCTAAGAGTTCTAATAAGCCAAAATAATGTCAATTAACACGTCATATTAAATGAAGAAAAATTGGGTAAAATAAAAATTGTGAGTGAAATATTTGCGCTGTTAAAAACTAGACAGATTGGTTAGTTACGAACGGTGACTGAGCATTGACCTGGTCTGCGTCCCAAATGGCCCCCTGTTCCCTTTATAGTGCCCTGCCTCCACACTCGAGAACCAGCTGGGCCTAGAGAGACAGCCTGCCTGCCTCCCCGCCTGCTAGAGACTGGAGCCTAGAGAGACAGCCTGCCTGCCTCCCGCCTGCTAGAGACTGGAGCCTAGAGAGACAGCCTGCCTGCCTCCCGCCTGCTAGAGACTGGAGCCTAGAGAGACAGCCTGCCTGCCTCCCGCCTGCTAGAGACTGGAAGCCTAGAAGACACCTGCCTGCCATCCCGCCTGCTAAGACTGGAGCCTAGAGAGACGCCCTGCCGCCCTCCCGCCTGCTAGAGACTGGAGCCTAGAGGACAGCCTGCCTGCCTCCCGCCTGCTAGAGACTGGAGCCTAGAGAGACAGCCTGCCTGCCTCCCGCCTGCTAGAGACTGGAGCCTAGAGAGACAGCCTGCCTGCCTCCCGCCTGCTATAGACCTGGAGACTGGAGCCTAGAGACATCCGCCTGCCCCCGCCTGCTAGAGACTGGAGCCTAGGAGACCAGCCTGCCTCCCTGCCCCTGCCTCCTGCCGTGCCTGCCTGCTGCCTATAACATTTACATTTTACATTTTAGTCATTTAACCGACCTCTTAGCCAAGCGACTTACAGGAGCACTTAGGGTAAGTGCCTTGGCTCAGGGCACAATCGACGATTTTTCATTTTCACCTTCGGATTCGGCTCGGGATTCTAACCGACCACGACCTTTCTTACCTGGGGCCCAAAACTCTCTTACTTACCTCGCCTAGCTAACTAACGCCGCCCTTACTCGAATCACTGTATATTCAGGACCGTTGTATGCCTCGATACTTCAGATGAAGAGAAGAGAGGAGTGTGAGGCAGGGGTGTGGTGTCCTTGTGGGGGGGGGGGGTGGGGAGGGTGTTGCTAACTCAACTCCCTTTCAAAATGAATTAGGAACCCACATAATGTAGTGAAGTGTCAAAGGGCAGAAAAGCAGTCACCATGATGGCTGACTGGTCCCGCAATAAACCGTCCCCATCACTGAAATCAATAATACTGGCAGACTCCATTAAGAGTGCACTGGCATTTTTGATGAACACTGTCCCAACAGTCCAAAGCAATTATGTTTAACAAGAGTCTACTGTACTGTAGATACTATTGGTTCGGGGGGGGACCTATCATTGGAAAACAGCACTACTGAGTTATATATCTATGACTGTAACTGTGGGTACATACTGAGTTATATTTCTACGACTGTAACTGTGGAAACATACTGAGGTGTCTTTGGCTCTTGAGTGAAGGAATAAGTTTGTTCTCAACATTTCAGCCACTCCTATGTTTTCATAAACATCTGAGACATTTTGGAGGGACATTTCCAAGTGACATCATAAAATGACATCATCAATTAATCCAAACTCCGCCCATAGAGACCCTTCCCCCCCATTCACGCGCCCGCGCGCCTACTCTCGCGCTCGCTCTCGCGCGCTTCGCTCTCTCTCTCCGCGCGCCTCGCGCCGCTCGCTCGCGCGCCCCCCACCGCCTCGCGCCTCGCGCAGCGCCGCGCTCGCTCGCTCCTCCTCGCTCTGCGTCTGCTCTGCCGCCGCTTCTCGCTCTGCGCTCGCTGCGCGTCGCTCTCTCTCTCTCGCCTCTCGGCTTTCGCGCTATCTGGCTCTCTCGCGCTCTCTCTCGCTCGCTTCTCTCTCCGCTTCGCTCTCTGCTCTCTCTCTCTCGCGCGCTCTCCCTCTTCTCTCTCCTTTGTTTTGTGCTATCTCTGGTTTATGCCATATATACTTTAAAAAACCATACATGTTATCTTCTTTGGGGGCCCGTTTATAATCTATCGGCTACTTGAGGTTTGTCATTCATTAGTTGAAGGCTTAATTGAGGCTACCCTGAAGCAATAGTGCGTAACACTAAACTAACTAACTGTACCCGTGCCAAATAGCCAATCACCAGATGTTTTGTGCAGAATAATCTATCCATGGAGGCAAAAAAGGACAATGTCAGAGTTGAATTCAATAAAGAGAAAAGCTTGGAAATGGAGAGTTGATAAAGAGAAGGGAGGGTCAGAACAGTGATGTTCTG